TCAGGCATCCTTTCACCTCCACTTCCCAAAGTGCTGGAATTACAGGCATGAGCCACCGTGCCTGGCACTAATCCCCCCTTGAAAACCACTGATAACAAACAGTGAAGCTGAAAATGCTGGATCCTGACAAATAAAATGTGATCCATCCACACAATGGAATAACTTTTAGCCAATAAAAAGGAATGAACCTGATTCATGCTACAAGGTGGATGAACCTCAAAACCACTGTGCTAACTGAAAGAAGCCAGACACAAAAGATCATGTGGTGTATGAAATATCTAGAATAACCAGGTGCAGTGGCTCCCAGCACTTTGGAAGGCAGAGGATTGCCTGAGCCCAGGGGTTCAAGCCTTGGCAACTTGGTGAGACTTCCTTTCTACAAAAAAAATCAGAAAATTAGCTGGGCATGATGGTGCCTACCTGTGGTTCCAGCTACTTGGAAGGCTGAGGGAGAAAAACTGCCTGAGCCTAGCAGATTAAGGCTATGGTAGCTGAGCGTGTCACTGTACTCCAGCCTGGGTGACAGAGAAAGATTCTGACTTAAAAAAAAAATAAAGAATAAAAAACATACAAACAAACAAATGTTAAACTCTGATGGTTCTGGAGAGTTGTAATGCAGGAAATAGCTTTTTAAAAGTAGGAGGGCAGTGGCATTATTGACAACAGTTAAAACTTGGAACCAACCAAGTGTTCTGTAGATTAACGGAGAAGCAAAACATAGTCCAACCATAAAATGGAATGTTATTCAGCCTTAAACAGGAAGAAATTTCTGACATACAGATAAGCCTTGAGAACACCATGCTGAGTGAAACAAGCCAGTCACAAAAAGACGGATTCCATTTACATGAGTTCCCCAGAGTAGTCAAAATTATAGAGACAGAAAGTAGAATAGTGGGTGCCAGGGGCTGGTGGAGTGGGGAATGGGGAATAAGTGTTAACGGGTATAGAGTTTCAGTTTTGTAAGATGAAAAAGAGTTCTGAGGCTGGGCGTGGGGGCTCATGCCTATAATTCTATCACTTTGGGAGGGCAAAGCAAGAGGACTGCTTGAGGTCAGAAGTTTAAGATCAGCCAGGGCAACACAGTGAGATCTCATCTAAACAAAAAAATCCGAAAATTAGCTAGGCATGGCACCTGTAGTCCCAGCTACTAGGAAGGCTGAAGTGGGAAGATCACCTGAGCTCAGGAGGTACAGGCTGTGTAAGTCAGAACTGCACTCCAGCCTGGGCCACAGAGTAAGACAGACCCTAACTCAGAAAACAAACAAATACCCATATATACACATATATATGTATAAATAAAATGTTCTGGAGATGGATGGTGGTGATAGTTGCACAACAATATGAATGTATTTAATACTACTGAACTGTATATTCCTAAGTGGCAAAGGTGGTAAATGTTATGTGTATTTTACTGGTTTTAAAAAACAACTTTTTACAAAGTGGGAGTAAAAGCAGGATATAAAATTGATCACAACTTCAAGGAAAAAAACAAAGACAGGGAAAGAGAACATATCCAAATGACTGCCTTGAGGCGACTTGAAGGTTTTCTATTTCTTCAGGTGTAAATTCTAACCTTTGGTGCTCTATGCTTTTACTATGGGGTTTAAAAACCACCTTATCTCCAAAGCTCCCTGTGCATGCACTCATCCACCCAGATGTTTCCATTCAGCAGTCTGTTCCTGGTGCTGGGATCTGGCAGCCTCTAAAAGACGCCAGGGAAGTGACCCTGCCAACCTTTCTCATCTTGTGGAAGTCCTTCCACAACCTGGGGTGAGAGCCCACAAGCAGTCATTCAACACCCAGTTCCTGAGCACCTTGAAAGTTTATCAGTAATAAGGCCTGAGTCCTGCTCTCAAGAAGTTATAGACTCTCAGAAAAGGTGGAAGCTAAGATAAGCTTTGAGGAAGGTTAATACGCTTGACTCAACAGACCCCAAGGGAAGGGGGTAGCCTCTCTGATTATCAACCTCCAGGATGAAATGCTCAGATCTCGTCACCCTGATCATGCCACCCTCTGATCAAACCCTCACTGCCTTCAGTGTTTCCTAGGACAGGTAAGTGGACCCCCTGCCCGAGCTACCATCTGCTTTGTCACTGGACAGCTCATTTGGTGCAGTGACTCAGACTGCCCTGACACAGGGGCTCTCTCTCCTTGCTGCCCTCTGTGGGTCAGTCCTGTCTCTGCTTCTTCAATGGGCAGGCTCCACCTGGGTTTTCAGGATGCATAGCCTCTCTATGCCTCTATGTTGGTTGCTGTGCCTGGGAACAGACTGCCCCATGTCAGCTCCCAGCAGCTCTGGTGTAGCACTGGCAGCCCTTGCAAGTAGACTGTGAGCCCCACAGAGACAGAGCCTGGGTTCTTGCAATTACAAACTGCTTGCCCTAAACCACAGCTAATCAAAAATAACTGCTAAGTACACAAGCTGGAAGGCCATCCTTTGGGCTCCCACATACCCATCATTCTCTCCTGCCACACCGAGTCTCCTGAGGGCACTGGTGTCATTCCTTGGATCATTAGGCACACACTGACGGCACTCACAGGCAAAGCCCTCTGCTGGTAACCCCCTAAGATCCCAATCCAAGTCCCAGAAGGCACTTACTCGCCGGGATGTGGGGGCTGAGGGCTGGCCACCTGATTCTGCTTGGCTTTCTGTTCCATTTTGGCTTCAATTTCCCGTTTCTTCTGAGCGATGAGCTCTTCTTGGTGAAGGATATTCATGTTCATTTTTCCAGATTTGGGGGTAGCAACCCCAAACCACCGGTTAGCTTTTCCTGAGAAGGGAAAAGAGGCACATCAGAAATCACCACTGCTCAGCCTGGGCAACAAACTGAGACCCTGTCTTTACAAAAAATGGAAAAATTAGCTGGGCATGGTAGTGTCTGCTTGTAGTCCCAGCTACTTGGGATGCTGAGGCAGAAGGACCACTTGAGCCCTGGAGTTGGAGCTGCGGTTAGCCATGGTTGTGCCACTGCACTCCAGCCTGGGCAACAGAGTGAAACTCTGTGCCCACCACCCCCCCAAAAAAAACACCATCAGTGCTACACAAACACCCCCAAAGACTTTGACGGGCCAGACAGCAACTGATGTTCAGACTGACTAACACCTCCACTCATTTGTTTATTCAACAAACATTTACAGAGTGCTTATGTACCAGGTACTGTACTAAGTGCTAAATAAGAGAAATCAGGCCTCTGCCTGCATGGGACTCACCTCTGGCTGGGGAGACAATTTCCACAAGAAAAAAGTAAGTGCAAAATGTGCTAACAGTTCTGCAGGAAACCAAAAAGGGCTTCCAATGAAGAGCAGTCCAGGCAAGATCACCAGAAAACAAACAGTAGAAGCAGGGACAACTAAGCTGGGACCAGAGGATAAGAAGTTAGCGTTATGAAACGCCAACTGGGCAGTGATCTAAGCAGAGGACAGAGCAGATGCAGAAGACCAAGGCAGGAAGAAGCCTGGTGTGTCCAAAGATCAGCAAGGGCCTAGCACAGCCAGAGTGGACAGCTCCTGGGATGGGCAGAGGTGGGGCATGACAAGGAGTCGGGCTTTACTTTAAGGGCTTTAGGAAATGACAGGGGAGTATAAAGCTGAGGAATGACAAGATCCCATGTACCTTTTTAAGATCATCCTGGCTAGTGATCATTCTGACCAGACAGTGCATAAGCAGCGAGGGGACCAAGGAGGCACACTGGCTCTAAGTGAAAGACACTGTCTTCAGACTATAGTGGTAGCCGTGGAGATAAAGGAGACACCCCAAAAGTTTCTAAATTCTGAAAACTGATTTTCAAGGTTCTGCCAGAGATTGCTCCCCTCGCTACTTTTTCATCCTTGACAGTCTTCAAAAAAACAAGCCTGTCCCATCCCAGGGTCTTTGCACTTGTGCCGCCCCCCGCTGCCCCCCTGCCCCAACGTGGAAGGCTCCGCCTTCCAGGCTTTCCCATAGCTGGCATCTTCTCATCTCAAATGTCTTCTGCTTGAAAAGATCTTCCTTCCTTACCTGAAATCATCACAACTAGCTCTTTGTTAACATTTGCCCGTTGGTGCACTGACACTCCAAGAAAAAATAACCTTCAGGAAGACAGGACCCTGTTTTGGTCACTACTGCATTCCCAGCGCCTAGCACAGTGACTGGCACACGACGAGCATCCCCTAAGTATTTGCTGAATGAGTGAATGCATTCCATTCCGGGGGAGTAGAAAAGACAAGGCTTGGAGGAAAAGCCAGTTCAAAAGACGCGGGAAAGTGTGCAAAGAGAACCTCAGAACATTTCGGAAAAGCAGCTTTTCCACAAAGCGGGACACAGGCCACAAGGCGGCTGCAAAGAAGAGACGGGCGCAGAGCAGCCCAAGGTTGCCACTGTCTTGGGGAGCGGAGCTTGGAGCAGCCCTGAAGGCAGCTATTTAGGAAAGAGGGCGCAGGGCCCACCGGGGTGGCGGCCTTTACGGAAAACGCTGCGTCCTCAGCAGACCAAGCGGGGGCGGCGGGCAACCTGGGTCTGGGGTCTCGGGAGACCGGGAGCTGCAGACACCGCCGCTTTGGGATGCCCAGGTGCTGAAGCGAGGGGCCCGCGGGTCGGTGCAGGGCCGACGGGAGGACGAAGCGGCGACAAGTAGCCGCAAGGACTGAGGCGGGCGCTTGAGGGGAGGCGGGGGCTGTTACCTGCAACATCCCGGTTGTCCATCTTGAGACTCATCCAATCCCACAATGCTCCGGGGCCACTTAAGGGCACTTCTTATAGCGTGCGCTGCCCGACGGGAGATGTAGTCCGCATCGGTCAGCCGCGCCCTGCCAGGACGGGGACACCAGGGTGCTTCTTACACAGACGCAAGCCTGAGCCTGTTGGCGATGTCTAAATATCCGTCCCGAAGACCTAAGGGAGTTTCTCTTTCTCACACCTTCCCAGAGCGGCGGCCACTCCAGATGCAAACTACATGTTCCAGGATGGTTTTGGCGGCAACTATCGCGAGTGCCGGGAGGAGCACCCGGCCCCGCCCCGTGCGCCCACTTCCGCCTCCCTGTGGCAGCGGCTTGTTGTTGTAGAAGCCAAAATGGCGGCGCAGGCGGCGGTGGCTGCCCAGGCGGCTGCGGCCCAGGCAGCGCAGGCTGAGGCGGCTGAGTCGTGGTATCTGGCGCTTCTGGGCTTCGCTGAGCACTTCCGCACTTCCAGTCCACCCAAAATCCGCTTGTGCGTGCACTGCCTGCAGGCCGTGTTCCCCTTCAAGCCGCCGCAGCGCATCGAGGCCCGCACGCACCTGCAGCTGGGCTCCGTGCTCTACCACCACACCAAGAACAGCGAGCAGGCGCGCAGCCACTTGGAGAAGGCGGTGAGCGCTGGCCGGGCCGCGAGGGCGGAGGCGCGAGCTCCTTGCGAGGATTGGACTGACGGGGCGGGATCCCATTCCTTGGGGGGCTGGGGGAGCGATCTCCTTAGCTAGGCGGGACCCCGAAGCCCTCTGCGGGACCCCGAAGCCCTCGGGACCCCGAAGCCCTCGACTCCTCAGGGGGCCCTAAGGCCTCGTACCCAAGTTTACTTCTGGCTTCTGGGGACTGACCGGGCTCCAGGCCCCCCCTTTCGTGTACTCAGAGCGTTGCCTCTTCCTGGGAACAACAGGGTCCCCGCATCGTCAGATTCTCAGGAGCGTCCCCTTCGTGGGTGGCGTTGGGGACACCCCCAGATCGGTGTCTGAGTCCTGCAGCCACCAGCTCCTCGGGGCTCAGCTTCGGGAGCGTCTACCCGAGCGCGCCCCACCAGAAGTCCTTGGGATGGGGGCGGGTCGACGCGAGAGCCCAGGCATCCCCTGGGAATCTGAAGTCGGACCTCTCAGGAAGCCCGGGAGCGCATCCCCCGCCTTGCATCCCGAAGTCTGGAAGGTCTTATGCCCCATCAGTGGTGCCGGGTGTCATGGGGGGAACACGAGATCCTGCCTCTGGAATTGGGTATTTGAGGTCATGCGAGGAGTCTCAGAGCCTAGAGTCGAGCTTTTGAGGTCCTGTGAGGAGGTGAAAGTGTGTGTGTGTCGGGGGGTGTCTGGAGTCCAGGCTCCTTCAGCTCCTGCTGTCTCACTCCCGGCTGGTGATTCCTCTTCCTTCCCCCATCCACCAGTCTATTCTCTTCAGAGTGAGCCCCTTCCTTTCAATTGACTGTCATCTTGATGCTTTAAAAAATGTGGGAAAGCTGCCGGGCTCGGTGGCTCAGCCTGTAATCCCACGCCTTTGGGAGGCTGAGGTGAGTGGATTGCCTGAGCCCGCGGATCCGCAACCCGCCTGGGCAACTTGGCGAGACCTCATCTCTACAATAAATAAAAAAATCAGCCGGGCGTGGTAGCGCGCGCCTGTAGTTCCAGCTACTTGGAAGGCTGAGGCGGAAGGATCGCCGGAGCCCAGCAGGTCGAGGCTGCGGTGGCCGGGAGTGGCCACTGCCCTCCAGTCTGGGCGACAGAGTGAGACTCCAACTCAAAAAAAAAAAAAAAAAATGGGAAAGCAGCCAGGCACGGTGACTCATGCCTGTCGTCCCAGCACTTTGGGAGGTGGAGGTATGAGGAGTGCCTGAGCCCAGGGGTTCAAGACTTGCCTGGGCAATGTGGCGAGACTTCATCTCTACAGTAAGTCAAAATATCAGCCGGGCATGGTGTCTCACGCCTGTAATCCCAGCACTTTGAGAGGTGGAATTGAGAGGATTGCCTGAGTCCAGGGGTTCGAGACCAACCTGGACACTTGGCAAGACCTGGTCTCTACAATAAATTTTTTAAAAATTAACCAGGTGTGGTGGTGCATGCCTATAACTCCAGCTGTTTGGAAGTCTGAGACAGAAGGGTTGCCTGAACCCAGCAGGTCAAGGCTACAGTGGCCATGAGCATGCCCCTGCATGCCAGCCTGGGTGGCAGAGTTGAGACTACAACTCAAAATAAATAAATAATTAAAAATGTGGGAAAGCGGCTGTCATTCTGCCCTTTAGTAAACTTTCCTGCTGTGGAGTCGCTTCTTCTCACAGCAGCACTGTGCTCCTGTCAGACTTCCTCCCTGTTGCTGTTTACCCAGCACTGTGTGGCTTAAAGGAGAGACTTCTTGAAAAGCAACTCTGCCAGGTACCATGGCTCATGCCTATCATCCCAGCACCTTGAGAGGCCAAGGCAGGAGGATTGCTTGAGCTCAGGAGTTTGAGACCAGCCTGGGCACCATAGTGAGACCTGTCTCTATAAAAATAAAAAAAAATTAGCCTGATGTTGTGGCACCGTAGTTCCAACTACTCAGGAGGCTGAAGTGGAAGGATCGCCTGAGCCTAGGAGGCCAAGCGGTGATCTGCTACTGCCGCTGCGCTCCAGCCTGGATGACAGAGTAAGACCCTGACTCAAAAACAAAAAACTCAGATTTTTAAAAAATGTGTTGTTCTGAGGTAAATCATAACCCACCCTCAGCTAGTAACAAGTTGCCTTGAGGGGAAGATCAGACCCTTGTTTTGCAGACTGAAAAGTTGGAAGGGTACTTTAGTCCTCACTTGATCCACTTGTCTCAGGGCAGTTGGGGTCCCCAGAGAGGTGAAGGGATTTGTCCAAGGCCACATAGTGAGCTATTAACAAAACTGGGCTCAAACCCAGGCTCAAAGATTGCCAGGTTACATGCCAAGATGGTCTGTCATATTGGTGAAGTTTTTTTTTTTTTCATTCATTCAGCAGATATTTGTTCAGCTCATGCCAGGTCAGGTGCCAAGTCCACTAGGGGATCAGCGATGCCTGAAATGGTCTCTGCCCACGTAAGCTTATGTTTTAGTAAAGGAGAGGAACACTAAGTAGGGAGAGGTGACTACGTACTTCCCAACTGGGTGATGTAAGAGCCACAAAAACTGGACCAGGGAGAAGGGATGGAGTCGACTTGAAGCTATTTTTGGCAGAGGTCGTGAGGGAGTCTATTTGTAGGAGTGACATTTGAGCAGAGGCCTGAATAGGTAGAGTCAGGAGCCCGGTGAACTACTCTGGCAAGAACTACTTAATGGCAAGGAGTGCTCTAGCTGTCAGGGACCAACAGTTGGTCTCAGAGTCTCTCCAGGTCAGTGATGAGTTTGAGATCAAATGAGATGCCAGGCTTTATTGTCTGAGGAATTGCGGGGAGAGAGTCTGGAGGCTGCAACTACTGGGGCCTGGAGGCCCAGCGTCTCCAGTAGATGCGCTGGTCCTGAAAGTCTTCTCTTGATTAACATGCTGTACCGTCTTCCTTCTCTTGTCTCCCAGGGCCGTTCACCTGTTTCTAGCGTGGTTAAAGGTCACTGTGTATTGTCGGATTTTGCCCACTCAGTGATGCTCCTAATTGCTCTCTTGGCCATTTGGCTTTTGGATTCATAGTTTAAACCCTTATTCTTGTGAAGTACCTTCACTCTACTTAATAGAACTTTGAATCTTGTGGTGTCTTCCACTGAGCCCCGTGTTCCCCTCCATACCTCATGCAGACTTTACACCTGGAAATCCCTTTCTCTCTATTGCATCCCTGGTTGGAAATTTGTCTGGATTTCCATCATATTCCAAGCTGTTTTCTTCTGCACTGTTAGTCATCTCCTTTTGTGTTATAATACAAGCCTGCTTCCTTTAGTCTTCATTCTTTTTTTTTTTTTTTTTTTTTTGAGTTGGAGTCTCACTCTGTCGCCCAGACTGGAGTGCAGTGGCCGCTCCCGGCCACTGCAGCCTCAACCTGCTGAACTCCGGCGATCCTTCCGCCTCAGCTTCCGAGTAGCTGGAATTACAGGCATGCGCTACCATTCCTGGCTGATTTTTTGACTTATTGTAGAGGTGAAGTCTTGCTGCCCAGGCGGGTCTCGAACCCACGGGCTCAGGCAATCCACTCACCTCAGCCTCCCAAAGGCACGGGATTACAGGCTGAGCCACCGAGCCTGGCTATAAACTTTTTTCTAAAGGTAAAAAAAAAACCTCCCAAATATTTTGTGACTGTTCTCCTTGACCATTCTTTCCGCTGAACTATTTTCTTTAACATGTGTTCTACAGGTAAAATCTTTCACTGGCTCCTGAGCTTAGTACTACATCCAACTTCCCTGTTATTTTCGTCTTTTGCTTCCTCTCAGAGAAACCCTAGCCCCCTTGGTAATCACATTTTTATATAAGGTTAGATTGTTTTCTCTCTCCTTCTGTCCGTTTTTAACCATCTCCTTAACTGCGTTTGTAAACCATCTAGAAGGAGGAATGTGTTACACTTACCCATCTGCTTTGTCAGGTCTACCAACCTGGAAGGAATCATCTGTTAAATGCCCCTATCTGGGCCGGGCTCGGTGGCTCAGCCTGTAATCCTAGTGCTTTGGGAGGCCGAGGTGAGTGGATTGCTTGAGCCTGCCTGGCAACTTGGCAAGACTTCATCTCTACAATAAATCAAAAATTAGCCAGGCATGGTAGCGCACACCTGTAGTTCCAGCTACTTGGAAGGCTGAGGCGGAAGAATTGCCGGAGCCCAGCAGGTCGAGGAGCCCAGCAGGTCGAGGCTGCGGTGGCCGGGAGAGTGCCACTGCACTCCAGTCTGGGTGACAGAGTGAGACTCCAACTCAAAAAAAAAAAAAAAAAAAAAAAAAAAAAAAAAAAGGTCCCTATCTGGCCAGGTGTGATGGCTCAAGCCTGTAATCCCAGCAATTTAGGAGACCAAGGCAAGAGGATTGCCTGAGCCAGGGGTTCGAGACCAGTCTGGGCAACTTGATGAGACATCATCTCTACAATATATCAAAAAATTAGCCAGATGTGGTAGCATGCGCCTGTAGTTCCAGCTACTTTGAAGGCTGAGGCAGAAGGATCGCCTGAGCCCAGTAGGTGGATAAATAAGTAAGTAAATAAATAAATAAATATCCCTATCAGAGTCATGGAGGGTGCAGCTCCCTTTCCTCAGGTGCTCTTTTGAAGTCAGAGCCATTGTTTTCTCAGTGGTTCCTGCCTCTACAGTCACTTGAAACACCTGCCCATAGCCTCATTCTCTGAGTCTGCTCTGAGTCTGCTCAGTAGATCCAGGAACTATTATAGAGCATGACATCATGACCCTCTACCTGAAAGCCTTCATCTTTGCTTATGGTAATGGCAGTGATGTGATTGTGTCCTGAAGTTTTTGACTGACCTGGGGGACTCCTTGAGTAAATAGTTCTTGACTATAAGAGATGTCATTTTATTTAGAAGTATCTTAGCTAGAGAACTTGCAAAGCCACTTTTACAGACTCTGTCAGATTGTGTTCTTTCATTTTGCCTTCCCTTACTGTCTTTCTTCTTGCTGCACGCCTATCCCTGAGTGGATTTTCAGTCTTCTCTTGTTTATCAGGCCCTGTGGGTTTTATTTTATTTTCACACCT